CTTTGGCCCCTTTGTTACGCCACTGATACTTTGTAGTTCCGCATTTGCAATTTTCGCACCCCCGATGGGTACCACCCTACGGCCCTGCTTTTCGAGGCTACTTTTTGTAAACTGAAGAGAAGAATTCAATTCAAGATGTGCTTCTTCTCGAGATTAAGCCCATTGTGCTTCTATTCGAGATTTACGGTACTAATAAAGTACAGTATGTGAAAATCGATAAACCGTCGCTCGGATGACTTCCTTTTCACAAACTCGATCACGTTTACGACGACTCAATTCTAGCGCATGCGTGAAAACTTAATTTGGGGACCGGCGGCTCAGGGTTAGCACAGCGGGTTAACTAAAGATCCAAATGCTTCGCTGCTTTTAACCACAACTTTTAAAAATTATGCTAAGGGCCTAGATAAAAAAATATATATATACATATAGGGCTATTTTTTAAAATTTTCAATCGATTTCAAATCAATAATTAAAAAGAAAAAAAAGGAGTCAAAAGTTAAAGTATCCTTTATTAATTCAATATTGGAAATTAAATTTTGATTAACAATAACAAAGTAGCAATAAGTGCCTTTTAAATTTTTTTGTATGCTACTATATTGTCATTGACCTTAAATTTTATAACTTCAAATATAAAATTATACGTTTAAAATACCCTTTCTTATGTGTCCAGATTTATATTTTTTATCTTGATAACATCTGTATTATTCACTGTATTTTAAATAACAAATGCCGAAATCAAGGAGACAAGCCTGTAAACTGATTCCGGAAACAACTTAAAACTTAAGATAACAATAATATCTTCATCATAAAAAAATTAAGAATAATAATAATGAAAGTAATGATCTTGAGGATGACACCATGAAGGAGGCGAAACGTCGATCCCTTCCCAGGAGTCGAAAGTACGGAAGCTTAAAGTGACCTTCCGCGTTTCCGAGTTTCCAAGATAATTATCATGGAAACATGGAATAAATACTTATTAGGACGTCTTTCCGAGATAATTTATCTCGGAAAGACGGATTTCCGAGATAAGTCTCTTATACACATCT